GGTCATTAGTACGTTAATTTTTTTTTTTTTTGTGTGTGTTTTGTAGCAAAAGCTTCGTTCTAGCACATTCCTTTCGCTATCCTATTTTGCTCTCTACAGCTCTCAGGTATGGATCCATAGGGCAGTGGCGGAGCTACAGGACTAAATGTGGGTTAGGAATTAGGACGAACCCAATAGCTTTTTTGCTTGGTTTTCTATATTTGTGTTAGAAAGTTCATAAAATATGTATAAATTTTTAATTGCGAATCCAGTAACTAAAACTAATTATGAGTTCAATGACAAATTCAGAATCCAAAAATTTTAAATTCTGGTTCCACCTCTACATAGGATTTTGTGTTGTTTGGCTTTAAAGAGATTAATATATATTTATGAGTTAACAAGATTTTCCAAAGTAAAATACAATAATAAAAGAAGCACTGCGAAATATCGTAACTTTAACAAGCTCAACTTGCTATGAATAACTATCGAAATTATGGTTGGTAGAAGTAGGTTTAACGATCTTTCTATAACCAACTTCTCCCAATTCTGTTCTAATGAGCTGATTAATATATATATATATATATATATATATATATATATATATAAGGAATTTTTACCTCCTATAGCAAATGCTAACACCTTATTTATTTTAAATAAATATCATTTAAAAAAATTATATTCTATAGATACCTTTTAAGGTTTATAGCAAAATATTTAATTTTGGTTACCTCCTAGCCCTAAGCCACTAAATACGCTAATCAGTTACACTATTTTCTTTCTCTCTCTACTTTGATACATCCCATTCTCTTCCCCCATCCCATTAAAATTTCCGATCTCCTCCTCCTTCCACCGGATTTGTGCAAAGTATGAAAGATTCAAAAGGTAACCAAACACTTTATTGGTGATATTATGTAGGTGTTGTTTTGATCCTTGTAATTCAGACTCTGCCATTCTCTTTCCATAATCCGTGGGTGAATATTGTGAGCAGTGATTCAACCAATTAGAGGAGCAGAGCAGGTTCACTCTCTGCTTCAGCCGATTTGTGCTTTGTCTTCTTCTATTTGGGAATTTAGAGTTCTTTTCGACAGATCAAACCAACTTATCAATCCAGAGCAATTCCATGTCGCCTTTCTTTTTCTTTTTCTTTCTTTTTGCTTTGTCTTCTTCTATTTAGGAATTTAGAGTTCTCTTCAACTGAATCAAATCAACTTCATCAATCCAGAGCAATTCCACGTGAAATCCATGCCCCAACTTTATCTTTCGCGATGAAGAAAAACATTTCTTTTAATATATTTCAATGTATTACGCTGTATTTTCATGTATTTTATTGTATTCATTGTCTTCTTTTTTCATTTTAACTCAATGTATCTCGCTGTATTCCATGTATTTTATTGTATTCTCTGTCTTTTTTTTCATTGTATTTCAATGTATCCCGCTGTATTATATGTATTTCATCGTATTCACTGTCTTGCTATATGCCATGAATGTATTTATAAGTTTTTTTAATTAATATAATTTATGTATTCAGATGTATTATATAATTTCTATGAAGATTGCTATATTTTTGGGGTATTTTTCGGTTGAGAATCTTTTTTATAACTGAAAATACAAAATTTGTGTGTTATAATTGAGTTTGTTGAGTTATATTAGGAGTCTATTATGTTAATTGATTCACTTTCCATTTTAAAAACAGTGTAATCCCCTATTTCACGCCGTGAATACAGTCGAATACAATAATCTGTCCAGCTGTAATCCCATCTTTCACTCCATGAATACAGTCGAATACACTCGAATACAACAACTGATTAGCTGGACTTCCCTGATTCACGCCTATTTTTACTACTGTATTCATGAATACAATAGCTTACATACATCATATACAACTTATAATAGCAAATGGTATTTATAAATGGCTAATTACTACTAAAAGATAATGCTTTATGAAAATTTTCCTTAATATAAAAGGTTGCATCATATAAATGAAGAAATTAGTTAGCTACGATAGTTACGTTACGGATATCCTATTGTGTGCATTTTGTCTTTTTTAGATATCATTTCAACAATTTTGGTTCCATTTGCTAAGACTGCTAAGTCAACTTTCACAAGTTCACTATTTCACATACCAAATGATGTATTCCAGTCTCCAACTATCCAAGTATATACGACATCGTCCCCCTTAGCACAAAGTTTGAATAACTACTACATGGAAAAAATTAAGAATATTTTACCTGCAAAAAATATTTTCCCCGGAAAATCTATAGCTAACTTTGGCGTCATTAAGCGTCAAAATATTTTCTAGGAAATTACCTGGGAAAACTAATCGGCAAGTATATTTTCCCAGGGAAATTTGCGGGCAATTTAAAGAAAAAAATGAAAAAAAAAAATCATATGATATTCCCGTAGGAGATTCCCTAGGTAGTGCTACATGCGAATTTACTTGCGGATATTTTCTTGAAAATTTACCTGCGAATTTCCTTATTTGGGGAATTATTTGGGGATGTTGCTGCGGATTTAACTTGAGATTTTTTCTGGAGGATTTACCGGGGATTTTTTTAGCTGCGGAACTACCTATGGATGTTGTTACTGCGGATGAAGCTAGGGATATTTTTTTGGGGATTTACTTGACAATTTTCTTACATGAAAAATTACCTAAAGATTTTGTTGCTGTAAATTTAATTAAAAAAAAATTCTCGGAGATTTGCTTATTTGGGGAATTACATGGGATTTTATTATTATAAATTTTGCTAGAAACTTGTTCTTGATGATATAGCTGGGAATTTTCTTACCCGAGAATTTATCTGAAATTTTCGTTGGGGATTTGATCTTCGGATTTAGATACTATTGCTGGTTTAGTTGAATATAAAATTTTACCTGAGGATTTTATAGCTACATATTTAAGTTTGAATTTCTATAAATACTTAATAAATATTAATTTAACATTTTAAGAAAATATTATTTTTGATTTAAAAAGTATATTTTTCCTAAAAGCTACAAAAACTTGATATGTCAAACACATCCTTCTGTGTTAATTTTATCTATTATGTATTTTATCGATTGTGTTGGTAGATATAGTTAAAATGTTAGGGAGAATTACACTCCTTATCACTTGGCTCACTAGCCCATCAAAAAATGGTCAGGTTGTATATAATGTGAAAATTACTTTTCACTCATTAGCCTACTCCTTTTAATTTCTTTTTTTTTTTTTTATGTTATTACTTTTCACCCATTAGCTCACTCCTTTTAATTTCTTTTTTCTTTTCTCTGTTCTTCTTCTCCTCGTGTCCCAACTTTGCATCCCAAACTTTCTCCATCATTATTATTCTCCATCAACGCTCCTCCAGATTCAAAGCCGATAATCACTATTTGGATGAAGAAGAAAAAACAATACATAAAAGAATTAGTTTTTTGGATTCATATGAAGATCACTTCCTCCGATAGAGTGGAAAGAACTATGTTTGCACTAAAGAGGTTCACTTGGTAAGTTGTTGGATCACCAAATTAGAAAGAAGGTATTGGCATGGTCTCAGTTTTACCCTCATTCCATGTGTAATTCCAATTCTAGTGGTTGATTAAAAACATGGAAAATAGAAGTCACCATTAAAGGTGTTTCAAAGCTTCGATTTCAGAAATTGCGTTTTTTGATTTGTTAGTTGTTTGGATTAGGTGTTGTCCCAATTGATTGGAATCATCAAGAGGAGTTCAAAACTTAAGTTTGAAGTGATTTGGAATATATTTAAGGTAGATTTGAGTTAAATTTCAGAAGATCAACAAGAAAGAAGAAGAACATGTGAAGCTCCATTGATATGATTCATCTGTATAATAATGTATAAAATTTTATAGATAGTATATTAATATGTGTTGTTATTTGTGGGGCTACGTACGCACGAAGTGACGAGAGTCCGTACGTAGCTACTATTCCGATTTATGTCCGGGTAGTTTTAGATTTACACCATGCTTTGTGGACACCGTTATTTGATTATATTTGTATTGTATTGAATGTAACTAAGTTGAGGATTTTTAAGAATTTAAAGGCTTCATGTTGAATTGTCCTTATTTTGAAAAGAATCAAGAAAAAAGGGTTATGATTTATTGATAAATTTATATTTGACCGTATCGTAAGTATATTCCGCGAGCGGGGTGATTCTTTCCACTACTCTCATGGGAGCAGGCTGTTTGCCTCGGCAGCTTAATAGGTGCATCTATGGTTTGTGCAGTTCGATCCTCGGCAGTACACAGTTTACATTTATGTTGGATCGGTTCGTACATCCTCGGCAGAATTCGTGCGTGATAATAAAACCGGAAGTCCCTTTCATAATTGGTATTAATTCATTGTTTGAGAGATCATTTGTTTTAAACGAAGGAAGTGATTTGGGTTCTTAAATATGGTGAAAGAATTATTCAGTTATTTCTTATTCTGAGTTTTATTGTTGTCTCTATATATCATGCTTAATAAGAATTTCACATTATCATATTGTTGGCCCTTAGTAAGTGTCAGAGTCGACCCCTCGTCACTACTTCTTCGAGGTTAGACTAGATACTTACTGGGTACATATTATTTATATATTCACGCTACACTTCTGTACTTAATTGTACAGGATCTAAGGCAGCTGCATCTGGTTACCAGTCAGGTGCGCAGATTTGATCCCCATCTCGAGACTTCACGGTGAGCTGCCTTCCGAGCCGTTCTGCAGCAGCTGGAGTCTTCCTTATGTTTTATTTTTCTATCTATTTTCTTTCAGATAGTAGACTAGTATTCTTTTGTATATTCTACTAGAATTCCCACATACTTGTGACACCAGTTCTTGGCACACACACTAGTAGACTTATGATTTTGGATTTGTTTTCATTACGATTTGTACTCATTTGCTTCCATTTAATTATGTTACATTTGCAAATTTCTAAATCTTTTTAGCAAATGAGGAAATGTTATCCACTTAGCAATTTATTTAGAACGGGAAAACCACTAGTTTGACCAGTGTTGGCTTGCCTAAGAATGGTGTTGGGCGCCATCACGACCTACAATGAAATTGGATCGTGACACATCTGACAATCCCCGAGCTATGCTCGTTTCAACTGCCTTTGATGGAATAGGGTACAGGTCTTGGAGGAGAAGTGTATTGAGGGGGTTGTTTGTCAAGAACAATTCTATGTCACCACAGTTTTGTCAATGGGAGCGATGTGATAATATGGTAACGTCTTGGATCCTAAATTCACTTTCTAAGGAAATTCCATACAGTGTAGAATATGCGAATGCTGCTGCTGAGCTTTGGAAGGAATTTGAGGATCGTTATGAACAAACCAATGGAGCTAGGATGTATCAAGTTCAAAAGGAAATCAACAATCTTTCTTGAAGAAACTCTGGGAGGAACTCACTACTCTGAACAAGAGAACTTAATGTAGTTGTACCTCTAATTGTAGTGCAAAGGAGAGTATGTACAAAGCTGAGCAAGATAGGAGACTGATACAATTTCTTATGGGATTGAATGAGGTTTACACTGTAGCTCGAGGTAGTATACTTATGATGAACCCATTGCCAAGCCTAGCACAGGCCTTTTCACTCCTAGTTCAGGATGAGAAATAAAGAGAGATTAGGCCAACCAACCAATTGTCCATTGAGTCAATCTCACTGAATGTGAATGCATCAGGAAAGGGTTCATTCAAGACAAGTTTCCCGGCAAATAACAATTACAATGGCATTCCTCGAGCTCGACTCATATGTGGTTTCTGCAAGAAGCCAGAGCATAGTAAGGAGAGATGTTGCAAGTGTACAAGGATCCTCTATATATAATAAAGGCAAAAGAGTAGCTGCAAGTGTACAAGGAGCCTCTAATGAATCTTTGATCACTAAGGAAAATGAAAACAAAGCCCAAGATGATGGAAGGAATGTGAACTTGACTGAAGAGCAGTATGGACAACTTGTGAGCCTACTTCAACAGTTTCATGTGGGAAATAGAGATGCTGGGAGATCCCTAGGAAGTTCAAATTCTCTAATGCCAATGCAGTCAACTTTGCAGGTATGATAGTATGTACTTCCTCCATTGATTTTGGCAAAATTTCATGCAAATGCTTTGAATCCAAAACTGATCATAGATACTAGATTCAGGGGATTCCAATCATATGACTTTTCATAGATCCTTACTGTCTAACATCAAGATCTTACCTTACCCTCTCCTAGTAGTCCTACCTAATGGCTACAAAGTCAAAGTATTTGAGATTGGTGATGTTGTTCTCACAGAAAAAATAGTCTTGTACAAAGTCCTTTTAGTTCCCTCTTTCAAATTCAATCTTGTGTCAATCTATTGATTAAACAAACATCTTAAAGGCATGGCATCCTTTAGTGATGATACTTGTCTTCTGCAGGCTCCTTTAGTAAAGAGGCCTCTGGAGATTGGTAAAGTAAGATATGGCTTGTACCTGCTTTGCTCCAAGTGTTTGAGAAACAACAACTCTTTCACTACAGTTTCTGATCTCTGCTCTAATGTAAATAGTTCCTTTTTGAATAATCTGCAATGTCATTCACCTTCACTTGTAAATAAGTCACATCTAAATCAAATGAAGAACCTTTCCCTTTCAACTGTTAATACTTCATCTTTGAATATTGATGTTTCTTGTTCTGGTTCTAATTCTTGTGTTTCTAAGAAGAATAATGTGAACCTTTTATGGCACAATAGGCTTGGACATGTGCCATTTGTAAAGATGAAAGGTATCTCCACTATACCTGCTGAATTCTCCTCTAAACAACCTTTTATATGCACAATCTGTCCCATGGCCAGACAAACCAGACTGCCCTTTCCCCAAAGAGTTAGTACCTCCTCCAAAATTTTTGAATTACTCCATGTAGACTTGTGGGGACCTTATCATGAACACATACATGACAAATATAGATTCTTCATCACCATGCTATATGACTATAGTAGAACTACTTGGACTCAGTTGCTGGCATGCAAAAGCAATGCACTACAGGCATTCAAGGCCTTGATCTCCTTAGTTGAAAACCAGTTCAAAACCAATATCAACTCCATTAGATCTGACAATGGATTAGAATTTAACAATATTGAAGCCATTGTTTTCTTTCAGTCAAAATGAATTGTTCACCAAAGAACTTGTCCCTACACACCACAATAAAATGGAGTGGTAGAGAGAAAACACATATATTTTCTTGAAACAGCCAAGGCCTTACCTTTTCAGTCTATCATCCCCTTAAAGTATTGGGGGAAATGTGTTCTAACAGCCAGCTACATTATAAACAGGTTACCTACTACATATCTAAAAAATAAGTCTCCCTTTGAAGTCCTATATGTTAAGAAACCAGACTATACACAACTAAGAAGCTTTAGTTGTTTATGTTTCCCTACAACACCTAAGATTCACATAAATAAATTTGAGCCAAAAACAGTTCCACGTATCTTTTTGGGCTATCCTTTTGGGGGTGAAAGACTACAAAGTTCTGGATTTGTCAACAAGGAGAATTCACATTACCAGAGACATAAGGTTCCATGAGTTTATATTTCCATTTGACATCTGCTCTAAGTCTGTGTCTTTCCCTACATTCTTTGATACTGTCTTTTCTGATGAACATGTGATTTCTAGTAATGATAGTGTCACCAGTATGTCCACTAATGAGTCATCACCTAACTCTTCATATATAAGATCATCTTATCCCGTTGATCATGTATCTTCTTCTCCTTTTTCACCTTCTGTACCTCATTTTCCAACTTCCCCTCTTGATACGTCTGCACCTTTTCCTCCATGCTCATCTCCCTCTCTTAGCTCTCCTCCAGTACATCACTCTTTTGAACCTTTAAGAAGATCACAAAGGAAACACAAAACTCCTACCTATCTAAAAGACTATGTACATAATGTTAGCAATCCTGATAAGCACTCATTCTCTCTTAACACTTTGTTTTCTAATCTTCACCACATAACCGTTGAATCAATAACTCCTAACAGTCAGGCTTTGGTAAGTAGTATTTGCAATGATAGTGAACCATCTTCTTTTGAGGAAGCTACTGTTAGCCCGGCTTGGCAAGCAACCATGGTCTAGGAATTTGAGGCACTCTATGCTAACAACACCAGGAATCTAGTACCACACCCTCCTGTTATAAAGGTAATAGGTTGTAGATGAGTCTATAAAATAAAGCACAGGTCTGATGGTACTATGGAAAGATTCCACCAGGTCTCATGGTGAAAGACCAATCTCTAGTTTGCAAGTTAAATAAATCCTTATATAGTTTGAAACAAGCAAGTAGGCAGTGGTATGAGAAGTTAACTGAGGCTTTGTGCTCCAAAGGTTTCAACCACAACATGAATGACTATTCATTATTTTACAAGCAGCAAGGTGATTCAGTGGTTTATGGGGCAGTGTATGCAGATGATGTCTTGGTCACAAGTACAAATCAGGAGGAAATAGGTTATTTGAAAGCTTTCCTTCTTGATAAGTTTAAGATAAACGACTTAGGCAACTTGCATTACTTCTTAGGTCTCGAAGTCCTATACAAGCATGATAGTGTGATTATGTCTCAAAGGAAGTTTGTTTTAGATTTACTAAAAGAGTACAACTGTTTGGAGTATAGTGTTTTGAGTTCTCCATTTGATCCTAATGAAAAGTTAAAGGCCAAGGAGGGAAAACCATTAGAGGATCCCACCTCCTACAGAGAGTTAATAGGCAAATTAAACATCCTTACCAACACAAGACTTGATATAGCCTTTGGAGTGCAACACTTGAGCCAATTCATGCAAGACCTTAGGGAACCTCACTTGAAGGCAACCTATCACTTACTAAGATATCTCAAGGGCGATCCTACTTTGGGAGTCTTTATGTCTAACATTGCAGACTGGTCTGTTAGAGCATTTTGTGATTTTGATTGGGCTTCCTACCCAGACTCAAGAAGGTCTGTGAGTGGGTACAAGTCTAAAAAGCAGGAGACTATTTCATTATCCTCAGCAGAGGCTACGTACATGTCGCTTAGGAAAGTGATTGGTGAACTGGTCTGGTTGAGTAGGCTACTGACTGAACTAAGAGTTCCTTCTATTCATCCAATTGTAGTGTTTTGTGATAGTTTGTCAGCCCTAAATATCGCTAAGAATCCTGTATTTCATGAACGTACAAAACACATCGAAGTTGATTGCCATTTTGTGAGGAAACAACTACAAGAGGGTCTCATCTCTTTGCATCATATTACTACTGACCAGCAACTCACATATATCCTTACAAAATCTCTCACAGGCATCAAGCATTCTAGTATTTTGGGCAAGTTGACAGTGTTTTCAACACCTCCAACTCGAGGAGGGGTATTGAAATATATTATTTAATAATTAGTTAGGCACTGTTATAGTTGGTTATGTCGGTTAGTTATTAGTTAGTGTAATAGTTTTAGTGCCAGCTGGCAGCATGTGTATATATACTGTGTACTGATATCAATGAAAGCTTAAGCACCATTTCACAAATTTCACTTTCTCTTCTTCCCTTCTCTCACGCTGAGTTCTAGAACCCTCATCTCTCCACCATTGCAGGTATGATCGAGCTCGTTCCTATTGATTTTCAGTGTCGATCTTGACATTTAGCACTGTAATTATTTGGAAGTAATTATTGGAAAAAGCCAAACTATTTAAGACAACAAAAAACAAGAAACTTGTAAGGTAGAAAGTATTATCACAAGAAGGATTATAATTAAATATACCGATAGTGCGAATACTCTTTTTATACTACCAGTGTAATTTAATCTCTATTAGTAGGTTAGTCACTAGTCACGACCCAAAATCCACTAAGGGTCGTGATGGCGCCGGACACTGCTGTCAGGCAAGCCAACCAAATTACTTAATCCAAATCTCGTTTTAGTACTTTTTAAAATCCATGAATTTCCTTCAAATTTAGCAATTTTAAAAGATAATAGTCTCAAATCGAATTCAAATGATAAGCAGTTAACATAAAATACTTCAAACCATCCCAGAACCCGGTGTCACAAGTGCATGAGCCTCTACTGACAAGGAAATAAAATACAACATCTGTCCGAAATACAATGGACAGAAAGTAAATACAGTATGCTGGAAGGGACTGCTCTAGCTGCGGCCGTCTCGAATAATGCAGCTCACCGAGTCCCAGAATCATCCGTGCTGCTACGCCTAGTAGGCCGCTAGAGGTACATATATCTGTGCAACAAAAATGCACAGAAGTGTAGTATGAGTACGTAAACAACGTGTACTCAATGAGTATCCCACCTAATCTCGAAGAAGTAGAGACGAGATGGTCAACTTCGACACTTACTAGTGGTCTAATAATGATGTCAATATTACATTAAATCGTGAATTTCTACCAACATGATTTTTATCAAATAGAAGGAAACAAGTAAACTATTATTCCTTTTTATGGGAAATTTCCCAAATTCCTTTTTTCATTAAGTTCCAAATATTCTCAAGCCATGAAGAGGCAATAACAACTTTAATAAGTTCAAGCAGCAATACAAGCATGCGCAACTCATGCCGAGGTCGACGGCCCGCTCCAACAAAAATGTAAACTATGCACTGCCGAGGGTCGAACGGCGCGAACCATAGATGCATCTATTTAATCTGCCGAGGCGTTCGGCCCGCTCCAAAATTTAAACACACACAGACAGTCAATCAAGAGGTCCACACGGAGTAATTATCTAATGAAAACAAATCCGCTTTTAACCATTTAAGAAAAATGAAGTTTTATCTGCTTAGAAATTCGTCTACTAATTCGATATGATTTAAGCAGTTCAAGCTATCAATAGGTTCGTAAATAATCCAAGTATAGCATGGTTTTGGGTCCTAACTACTCGAAAATTCGTGGTTAAATTCCAAGAAACGTAAATTCCTAGGTTTTCCACCAAACCTCAAGTTTCTACTAATTTAAATGCTCAAATCCATACATAGTTGATATTTAACTCAAAATAGGTGGGGATAACTTACCTTAACATTGATGACGAAAATCCCCTCTTGAAGCTCCCCAAAAATTCGCCCAAGCCATGAAAATGTGAGAGAAAATGGCCAAATCCCGATTTTAAAACAACCCATCTGCCTCCAGCTACTTCCGCTTCTGCGGAAAAACCTCCGCTTCCGCGTTCCCGCTTTTGCGGACAATCTGCCGCTTCTGCGGCTTCCCTTAGGCCTACCCTCTTCCGCTTCTGCGACTAGCCTTCCGCAGATGCGGTCCCGCTTCTGCGGAACCTTGACCGCATCTGCGGTCCTCGAGCCTTGACCAAAAATCCGCTTCTGCGGCTCCTTTTCTGCTTCTGCGGGGCCGCTTCTGCGGTTAACCCACCGCAGAAGCGAAAATACCAGCAACTAGACCCTTCAGTTGTCCAAAAATTCCAAATTTTGATCCGTTAGCCACCCGGAATCCACCTGAGGCCCCCGGGACCTCAACCAAACCTACCAACCAATCCCAAAACACATTACGGACTCGCTCGAGGCCTCAAATCACGTCAAATAATGCTAAAATCATGAATCAACCTCCAATCCAAGCTTTATGAACTTTAGAATTTCCAACTTCTACTTTCGATGCTTAAACCTATCACATCACATCCGATTGACCTCAAATTTTGCACACAAGTCACATTCGACATTGCGGACCTACTCCAGCTTTCGGAATCGGATTCCGACCCCGATATCAAAAAGTCCACTACCGGTCAAACTTCTCAAAAACCTTCAAATTTCTATCTTTAGCCAAATGGCTCCAAAATGACCTACGGACCTCCGAATTCACTTCCGATCGCGCTCCCAACTCCAGAATCACCATACGGAGCTGCTCCCAGACTCGAAATCCCAAACGGACATCGATATCACTGAAATGCACTTCAACCCAAACTTATGAAATTTCTTTCAAAATACTACTTTCCACAATAGGAAATCATCATACGAACCTGCTGGAACCTTCGGATCCTGATTTCGAGGTCGTTTACTCAAAAATCCAATCCTAGTTAATTCTTTCAACTTTAAGCATCCGAAATGAGAATTCTCTTTCCAAATCAACTCAGAACTTCCCGGAATTTAATTCCGACCACGCGTACAAGTCATAATACCTGAAATGAAGCTGCTCATGGCCTTAGACTGCTGAACGACGCCCTAGGGCTCAAAACGACCGGTCGGGTCGTTACATTCTCTCCCACTTAAACATACGTTCGTCCTCGAACGTGCTGAGAACTACACTGAAGTAGTCTGAAATCATTGTTTAACTTCTCATGCACCTTCCCGTGCTACCACTACTCAGTTTAGCACATCAGCTCGATCAATTCTGAAGATATTCCATTTTATTCAAGCAAATAAGCCTTAGAGCCCAATTCCAACATCCGGAATTCTATGCCCGACCTATTTCCAACATAAGATCACCATATCAATCACTACTCGATGTACCCAAACATGGCTGCATAACTTTGCTGAATTCCCACCTAACATCACTTTACTCACCGGACCACAATAACATTTTCTGATCAACTTAGTCAAAATTCCACGAATCTGATGCTCCCATTCCACCCCATGACATACACAGGTCTTACTCTAACTCTTACAATGCCGCCACAATGGGAGAGATGTGCAGAAATTCATAATCAACTGCCGAGTCAACCAATCATTGAGTCTATGCTTCTGACAAGAAATTTTACCTCATTCTGAACCAAATAATGATCTTTGCTCCTTAATATATTTCACGTAATCAGATTGCACTGATCCTAAATCCAACAATCTCGTCTCACCCAGTACGCGCTGCTCAGGCAATAAGCCGCCCCGACATGACCAAAAGTCTCATATGATGCCACAATGTGCCAATAGGCTACCAATTAGGATGCGATACAAAAGGGAAATGAACTCTGAAAAGGAATTTCAATTACCCTGCTCGCAAATCATACATGCGACGCGCACAGCTAATATGAGCTTCCTTCAGAAAATAGGAAATAGAACATAATAAACAGATATGGGGAACTGTACTGAACATCACACTGTTGCGGCGCGCAACCCGATCCGAGTAATCATAACCATGGCGGCGTGCCACCCGATCCACACAACATAACCATGGCGGCGTGCCACCCAATCCAAATAACATACCCATGGAGGCGTGCCACCCAATCCACACATGGAACTCACATAAGGAGATGTACATCGAGCTAAATTGCTCATTACAACAAAATACTGAATATCAGTCATAAATACGCTAAGTGTATAATACCATTCCCTGGGGAGACATATAACGCTATAATCCACAAACTCGAGCACAACTGAAGTGCGATATATGATCTGAATCTCAAGAGCCATCCTGCTCATATAACCTCATCTCTATGCCGAACCTCAACACATAAGAAATTCACCAAGACGTCTCACAACTCGCACGATGCAATACATCATTACATGAAATAGCTGACAACGAAATAACACCCCGACTCCCTTCCATAAGGAGCGTATTGCTGAGATGAATACATCTGGCCTGATATAAGCCCCTGTTCACATTTAAATCAATTCACTGATCTCAAGCCGATTTCTAATTGCACCAACTAGGCTAATAACCTTTCAAAGGTCCATAATAACTCCCCTTTTTTTCATAACACATAAGAACAACCCTCATAACCGGAGCAAACCTCCACAGTCCATAACCCAATAAACAGAGTGCCCTCCAGGCATAAATTCTCAAATTAATGATATCATCACAAATCTCCATACTGGGGTTAAATCTTTAATCAATCAAGTGACCACATGTCACATTTATACAATCTTCCTGTGGGACGCGCTCCCACAACCTTTCGAAACACATAACAGGTTCGTACATCCCAACCACCGGCCGCACCAACGCTGAAAAGCGATCAAGAATCATTAACCATGATACAAGCCCTTCTTACAGAACACCGATCTCAGGTGACGCTGAAGACAATACCCACTTACTTTAAACATCGAAACTCCCTTCCTGCTCATCCGAGCTTGTGACAGACTTGTCCACACCGAACTGCCACCTTAATTCTCACTTCAAATTCCATACTACTCACTGCACCCGACATGCCAATGTACGATAGGACATGGTTCTTACCATAACTCCGGAACCACTAATAGGTCAACACTTCATCATATAAAAGCTTTTCGCTGAACTCACTTCAGGAGAAACATAGCAACACACATGCAAATTCTTATAACCGTAGAACATGCAAATCTCTAAGTAGTGGTCTAACGCCACCATAACCCTTCCAAGATCCGCCTATACGCAACATGCCATAACACTGGAATACCTCTGAATAAAATCAATTACGGCGGGCGACAGGCCTCACACGTACCATCACAAATCACTTGCATAACTTGATCACGCTGAAGGAACT